AGCGGCACGCGTTTCGTCGAGCGCGGCTTCTCCGCGTGACTCGCGCTCTGGCGAAAGCGCGCCTGATTGCCTCAAAAGCGCGACGCGACGCCTCGCGCGCAGCCGCCAGCAGCAGCGGGTGGCGCTCCTCGCGCGCGGGGAGAGAGAAGAGACCGACGGGATGTGGGACGTTGCGCGCGCGGAGGCCAGGCTTCGCCTTTTTCAGTTGCCGACGACCCCCACCCCCCACCCCGCCCCGTTCCGCATTCCACGTTCGACCCCGAGGCTGAGCGAATGCACGAGAACACCCGGGATACCCGATGGCGTTGAAAAATGCAAACGATTCCCGAACCAGAAACTGCGAAAACTTGGTGTTTTATATATATATATATATATATATACAATATATATATAATATATATATATATATATATATATAGATTAAAGCATGAATGGTTATCCAGCAGGTGGACATGCGAAGACTTTGTCCACACCAAAATTACCGCACAAAAAGCGTAATGTTCTGTTACTGGTTTTCAAAACAGTTCTTTCGCTTGTTAATACGGTTATTTAGCGTCGCAGGAGACTCGCAATACGAAGGGAGCCCTTTTTGCGAAGCGTTGGTCAAAGTACTTGTTTCTCCTAGAATGGATATTTCCAGCAACGAGTTTCTGTATGTGAACAACCCAAAGCGCTTCGCTCATCAAACTCTTTCCAAGCTGGTTCGCTCTTGTAAGGCATTAGTCGAGCGAAGGTGGGGCTGAGACCGGTATCTTCACTCTTTTTTTTTCCCCTCGAGGTGTCGCCATTTCAATCCCTTAATTCTACATTTACGAGCTATCTTCGAAAATGGAGAATTTGTATTATTTTTCCTAGCTATAGTTTCCTAGTGTCGCATTGTTAAAAATTAATTGTAGTTGGCTGTATTCCTTATCTTGGCTAATAACTGTCCACTTTACTTGAAAGTGTTATTATTAAAACTTTTCCCTTTTTAGACAGTGATTGGTTTCCCGAGTAGTAAAACGTAGTATAAAATACTACTTATGTGTTACAATTGCTTTCTTCTATAACATTAATGGCATACAGCTAAGGTCAATCTACCTCATGCATTCAGTACATAATATTTGAAAGTAAATAAGTAAATAGTATATTTTAATTTTAAAATTGTAAAACCTTTTATAATCCGTTAGACACGAATTAAATCGAGAGATTACTTATAAATCGCGTAGGCATGGACAAAAGCAAAAAAACATTATTTATTTGTGTCCATGCACATAAATGATTGCAGCCTCTCATTGAGACCTCGATGGACATTTGGTAAATAAACTGTATTTGTAAGAATGGAACGACTCACCGTCAAGTCACTGCATAAGGAATGAAAATGAAATTTTCCCCCGGTGCTCTCTACGTCCATCGATTCACTACCCTCTATAAGCCTCCAACTTGATACAACCTGCAGTGTGTTAAAAAGCACGTAGCGTTGGACAGATTGAAGGCTCGTCTGGCGCCGGAGAAATGGCAGTGCGCGTGCGCGGTTGCTGAAAGAAATAAGAAAAGCCAAGCAAAGAAAAGAACCTTTCTATTTTCAATTACGCGCCTGCGAGTGACTAGCAGCAACAGCAGCAAGCATCCCCCCCTTCTCTCTCTCGTCTTTGCGCTTCCCGTGTGGCGGGGCGTTTCCGGCTCTGCCTGGGTTTCCCCGCCTCTCCCCCGCCTCTTCCCCCCGCCCCTCTTCCCGCCTCGCCCCGCCTCTCCCTGCCTCTCCCCCGGCCTCTCCCGCCCGCCCCGCCTCTCCCGCCTCGCCCCGCCTCTCCCGCCTCTCCCCGCCTCGCCCCGCTCGCCCCGCCTGCCCGCGTCGCCCCCGCGTCGTCCCGCCTCGCGCCGCCTCGCCCCGCCTCGCCCCGCCTCGACCCCGCCTCGCCCCGCCTCTCCCGCCCTCGCATCGCCCCGCCCATTCCCGCCTCACCTTGCTCGCCCCCGGCCTCGCCCTTCATCCCCGCCCCGCCTCTCCCCGCCCCGCCCCGCCCCGCCCCGCCCACCCTCGTGCATCCGCCGCCCGCACGTTCGCCACGTGCGCGCTGTTAGGGAAAAGCGGCGGGGCGCCTCGTCGCACCCGGAGGTGGGTGAGTCCTCTGCGGAAAAACGTTCGCCCGTCGCCCGTCCGCGCCGCCCGAACTCCACTCTGCGAGGCCGCCCGCGGGCGCGGCTGAACGACACCGCCGCCAATTGCGTAATGCCGAGCTAAGAGCCGGGGCGACCGCCCACGCATGAGCAGCACTGGGCTGCGGCGGCTTGCAGACAGAAAGCGCCCCCCCCCGCCCCACGCGCTTCCGGACGCAGACACGCTTCCACGTGATCGGCTGCTGCGGCTCAGCGGCAACACCTTACGCCGTTGACCTCTGGGTCCTCGGGCCAGAGAGCCGAGCGTGACGGGTTTTCGATTCTATCTCTAAAGCTGGGTCGAATTTCAACCAGTGTCTGGAGCCGGCTACTCTAATGGGCAGTTTTCTGTCACTTCCCTGGTCAAAACCAGGCGAATGCTGGTGCAGAACTCATGGCCCATCCTCTCCTAGTCATCCGTAGCGCTCGTACTGGTCGTGTGGTCGGCGCCCGATCTTACGTTCCTGCGGGGAAGAACCCTGCCACCTCCCGAGTTATAACATGAACTACACTTACGGGCGCACGCATTATCAATAAATTCTCTCTCGCTCCCATTGGCGATTCAGGGGTTTGCTGTGCGGGTTGCTGTTCGAACGGATGCCCTCTATGATATAAAGCGGCGTTGGCCTTGTTCTCACTATAATTTCGATAGCGTTTCTCGGCAACGCGCCATGATGGAAGTATTTAAAAACTGAAAAATGTTTGCTGCTGATTTATATGTAGCAAAATTGTTAAAAATATATCAGACAAATATAAATTGAGGAAGTATGACGTTTGTCTGTTCAGTTCGTTACCGAACTACTAGAGCGCATCCATCGCCTGGATTCGAAATATGAAAGTTTAAAACTAGTTTCGTTCCTTTTCGAATGCATTGACGATCAGGTTTCGACTTATTTGCATCAAAATGCATCAATTTTGTGTGGTCTACAACAAATAATGAAGTTTTTCACACCATTCTTTGCATTAAAACCTTTTGCGTCTAATTGTGAGTGACGTTGTATGATAGACGTCTTCGCATTCTTGAAATGTTAGCTATCCTGTTATCAATATTTTTCACAGCTAGCAACATTATATATAAAGGTAGAAGTGCGTCGACTTACAGCACGATAATCTCTGAATCTACTGAACCAATGCCAATGAAACTTGTGTGCTAGCTGCCTTTAAAGTTGTGCACTACTGTAGATTACGATTTACGATCACAAACCTGAATATATTTAAAAAATAATTACTTTTTTTAGACTTTTTCGCCTAGCGTTATATCGCAGGTTATATTGCATCAATGTGCCATTATTTAGCTGCGCTCCCCCAGGGGATGACGACTGGCATCAACGATTGAGTTTACCTATGCACAGAACTGCGTGTCTATAGGAAAGACCAAAGAGTCTATAATACATTATAACCTCCTAGGAAATGAGTATTTGTTGATTTCTACTTGCAGTTGACTAATCTGGAATGTTCATACATAAGAAAACTGTCATAACCTTTCTTTACTCTAGAAACTATACAAGTAACTTGGATTCTCAAAATGAGAATTGCGTCTAGGCGTGAATGTGTAAAGTGTAGAAGAGACATGAAATTATTGAAAAAAGCTCATTTTGCTGACGGAGGTACTTGATGTTGTCGTAAAAAGGTGTGAATGCACAATGTGTTCTGCATGAAATAGTTACTGGGTTAGTGGTAGCATATTAAGTATGATTATTACGTATTTGCGAGTTGAACGAGGGAAAGTTAAGCATATTATGAATTATTTACGTGTTATGATGAAACTGTGACAAATGGACGAATTTTTGTAGAGAAGTGATTTATTGTAGTGGAGAGTGTAAGCGTACCTTTGGATGGTGAAGAAATTATTATTTGAATTCACGGGAGCAAAGAAGTATAATTGAAGTAAAATAGAAATATCAAACTTTTCTTCACAAATAAGCGAGAAGAAAAAAATATGAAGAAGAAGAAGTTTGGCAATTTAGCAATTATTGATTAAAAAAATTAGTATAATACATAAATTTCACCAAAATAATTACGTGAGTAAATTATTTAATTTTTTGTTTAGATTTGTTTATGAATGTTAGTTATAAAGAGAGTGCAATTGGGGGGCGGAAACCTCAATAAGAAAAACTGTAAATTTTTTTCTATTCTTGTTTTTTTTTCCTGGCTAAGAAATTGTGATAAACACAACAACGCGGTATACTTTAGCTAGTTTTGTCATATTTAGCTGTAAAATACTTCTTTCAGTACGAGTGCAAGAAAATTGCC